TTACAAGTACAGTTTTCCTAATAATGTGTTACTAATTATGTTATTAGCAAGGGATTGTATTGAGTTATCAATTTTTTTATCTTCAATTGCATTTTCGGTAGTGTGTAGTAGAGTTATGTTGTTCTTCCGATGTTTCAGGTATTTTTCATATTTTATTTGTTGTTCATCCATTTTTTATTTCAATAAATAGTGCGCAATTTATTAATTATACAAATAGTTCTTTAGCGGTTCAGTAGAGTAGCTATTTAAAGGTAGACTGCGCCGCTTTTGAGCTCTGTTTACTTTGTTTTGAAAAATATTAATATTGCATATTGTTTTTTTTATATAATAAATGCTATTTATTATTATTATTCTCTTTCTGATCTAGATAATGTTCAAGAAAGGAGCTAACTTTGGCGCCTTTACCCGCCTCTCCTTTAGGATATATGTAGCAAGTCATATTTTTGGATTTTAAATTTTGATTTCCAATATTGCAAACCCTTAATGCCTCATCGTACTCTTCACAAGGTTTTTTTACCGCATAAAATTTCTTGCCACGTCTCATGTGAGCCATAGTCATAGTAGCGACTGCTACTCTCTTACCATTTTCGTTCAGATTCTTTTTATGCATTGAGTTTCTCACAAGTACTACGGGTGTCCTTTGCCGGCCTGTTAAATTTGAAATCATAGTTTTATTTAAAATGGGATAAAAAAAAATTGTAAGAAATTATATTATCCGGAAATTTTTGTTATTACATTTCAAACACTGCTATTTTTTCTACGCTTTCGGATTTTTGTGATTTTTCAAGAGAGATACAACGTTTTTTAGATATACCGTGAGCGGGCAAGAAGGAATGTCTTAAATCTACTGTTTCGACTGCGTAGAAAATATTTGACAGTTACTGACTTGGGTTTACTAATACCTGCGACATCAGGGTTGCTGTCTCGCCTCTGCTTAAAACTGTGTGCATTTCTACCAACCTTTTGAAGTGCAAATCTTGTTAGCCCTTAGTTTCAAAATTACAAAATATTTGAAGCATGCTCGGCTTTTCAACCGCACTCAAACAACTTAAATACTTCTTGTAGCAACTAAAAGGACAACAATAAATTTATTACTCGAGACAACAAAAAAGTTATAACTTACCGTTAATCACCAGCAACCACTTTTGCAGGAATAACTTTTCCTAATAACATTTCTCTTATAATTTCTGGTTCACTTTCACATTGAGACTAAACCATTACCAAACCCAATCACGTCTTATTTTATTTTCAGGACATTGAGACCAATTACAATTACACATTGAAATGTACTATTATAACAACTTCACTGTGTTATAGTAACCTACGAAGTGGACGATTGTAATGACGTTATTAGGCTGCTCAATTAGATTTCAACATCAATTCTTTACTGCATTCTAAATTAAAATATGGTAATTTCACAGCAAATAAAGTATGTCGTGTTTTGCCAGCAAAGAGCGTCCAGTATTGTAGTTTTACTGTGACCATTAGTTTTACTTCTCTATCACTTGTATAATGTAAGCTATTTTTATGGTCATTTTGAGCCAGTACTGCAGCAGTTTTATCCTAGTACTGTGTTTTTACATAATTTTTTTTAGTAAAATTGCACATATATTTTTAAAGGAAGTCTCTAAATGTACAGCAAACTCTATAGTTAAAATTACTAGTACCTGTGCTGTGATTTTAGGCCACCACAAAACATTTAATATTATTTCGATTTATCTTATTTTTTACTGCTAAAGTTTCGTGTACTTTTGTAAATATCTTTTAATTTACTGTTTATATTATTGTTAATCTACTACTATAGTTGCTGAATTTAATAAAAAAGGCTGTAAATATACAACAATTTCTTAGGTTAAATTAATAATTTTTGCAGCTGAAATTGTTGTGATTTTCATGTGTTTCTGTATATTTAAATGTAAAATGTAAAACGTAAATGTAAAACTTACAGATTAGGGTATGACATTTTAATGAGATAATTACTTTTTTGTTCTCCAATCATCCTGTTGGCTTCTTCAAACTGTTTCAGTCAAGCTCTGAAGAAGCGAACAGGATGATTGGCGAAACGTTAGCAAGTTCAATTCAACAAAAACTGACGCAGGAGGAATCGAGAAGTGTTGTAAAAAGAGATAATTACTGTAGTTTTTGAAACATTCTGTAAATATGTAGAAAATGTTTCGGCTGAAATAGAGAGTTTTTTTTTATATATTGGTTTTAAAAATTGTAACGATTTGATTTGACTTGAAGAACAAACTTTCTTCTGCATATACTGCCATATTGACAGTGTTCAAAAAGTATAGTAGTTATGGCATCGAAATTACCAAAATTCAGGTTATAAATGAAAAAATGAAAACTATACAGTGTGCCACACCTAAGAATTATACTCCCTTGTTAGGTAGCCTTGAAGACGAATCTGTTATCATTTTCAATTTAAAAACCTGTCTCAGTTAGCCATGACGTTAGTCGATGCTATACGAAAGAACTGTTTCATTTCTCTTTAGTGAGATTTATCCAGGAAAAAAGAAATATTAAAATCGAACCTTAAACAACCATTCTACCGGAGTAGCTTAAGCGAACTTCATGGAAATTAGTATAGTTAGGTTTTATGTAGTCTCAACACGTCGACACTTTTCTCTTAAAAAAAATGCTTAATAGCCCTTCTCGATTTTTGACATCAAAAATTAGTCCCAGTTCGCCATAATTTTAAGTTGAAGCAATAAGTAAAACAAGGTTATAATGCATTTTTCAGAGACCTATCCAATGAAAAAAAGTTTATTCAAAATCGAAACATAAACACAAACTTCACAAGGGTATTGAGTTCTTAAGTGGGATACACTGTATATAAAAGAGAACATGCTGTGGTGTAGAATTAAGCATTCTACACCTAAACGCAATTATTAGGTGTTTAGGATTGGTGTTGTATTTCTTTTAATAATACCATATTTATCTCTATTCTCTGTAAGTTGATTTTTTCCTGGGAAGAATACTGACTGGACAATAATATTTACCATTATATATATCCAGCAAAAACTTGGGATACATTTTCCTTTTACGGGAAGATTTGTATTAGTTTTATTATGTTTTTAATGTGAATATTTTCAAGTCAGCTGGATTTAAAAGAACAGGATATCTGGGTATATACAGACTAAAACACTTTCTACGAAATAATGATGATGGCATAAGATATATTTAAACCCAGTATTATTGCGGTATAGAAAAATAATGTACAAATGAGAAGAAGAGCCCGCATACATTCAGTAAACAAAACAGGACCCCTTATTGTGCCCACTCTGTTAGCTCATTTAAAATTTCAGTAAACCTTTCAACCAAGCTTATTAATATATATTTCAATATAACTATTACTGATATTAGTTGAGCCTAACCGTAAAACTGTCAAAATCGTTATCTTATAGTTGGAATCACCAAATATTTCAGTCTCAATTGACATTAAGATAAGAACTGATTAGTGACCCGTAAGCATGTAATTAAATAAACTAACCAAACCTGTATAACATTTAAAAAATGGCAAGTTCAACGAAATAAGTAAGACACATAGTACTTATAAGAATCGACAATTAAAACAACTGATATAGGTAAGTTTATATAAGTCCATTACGAAAAAAATAACTAACTTTTTTCTAGTAGCATTATACCCATGAAGGTACAGGTGAGAGTTGCATTTTTTCGATAATGTTGAATGCTCACAAACGAAATACATTTTAAAACTCCTAATTCCTATCTTCATCTTTTAAGGTAGTGAAATGAGTAGAAATAATATTAGCCTTATATAACAAAAACTCGTATTACTTACCTATTCCTTAACAAAATAATCTCTCCAGTGTGCTAATTCCTAACATTAACAGACAACACTATGCTCATTCCCGTTTAGTACCTTTAACGAGTTCAAACGCTAATATGGCGTTGGGCATTCGTCTGGGTACCACTAGTGCCTGCGTCACAAGTTTAACAGGTATTTAACAAATATTTTTTTTATGTTTTAGGGTCATGGACATCAATTTTAAAGCAAAATTAATGTACCGACAGGAAAAGGGTAAATTCACACTGTTACTGTTATGTTACTGTGAAATTCGTCGGCAAATTTAGAGTGTGGAGAAAGATGACATTTATGCAGTAAATTAAATCCCTTTACAATAGCGCAGCCGGTTAAGTAGTAAAAATGAAGACATCTCCTTTTTGAAGTTAGCAATTCACATGCATACATAACTAACCAAAACACATTTGCATTAATTTTATTTGATATTGCAATGTTTTTTCCCTGAGTGCATGCTATGGAATTACGAAACGCCTTTTTAAAAGTTAAACTACACGCAAAAGAACGGGAAAAAGGAGGCTGCCCATAGCCCGCGAAGATAATTGTGTCCTCGGCCGCATTCGGCGACCACGTTGGCAAAGACAAAACATATGACAATCCAGAGCCGCTACCGCCGCCGCCGCGGGCCCGTAAGCTATCTCTATCCTTCTAATGTGACGCCTGCGCCGAGAATCTGCGGCCGAAAAACCGCGCTCGGTCTACGGCCTTATCCCACCAACGCCAATTTGTATATTTCCGTCCTTTATTTCGGCTAGGCCCGGCCCGCCGAAACCGCAAACAAGATGGTCTCTCTCTCTCTCGCCGCATTCGATACACTGCACTTGCTCTCTATCTCTCGTGTACCCCTTTATGTTAGCTTCTGTTTTAATCTGCCGCCCTTCCGTCTCTTTCGGTGAAACGGAAGGCGACTCGCGCCATCTCGCTCGTACTCCCCTGATAACTAAAGGGTTATCAAGCCGCGCGAGTGCTACTGCTTTTGGAAACGTGGCTCGACAAGACTCCGGTTCCTCGTCTTGCTCTAACCGCCGCTCTCCATGGCTATTTTTGGATGGGACGTAAGCTACCGCACGCGTTTTTGCTAGTTAATCAACAACACACTGTTTAAGTCTTTAGTTTTGGTTTCGGTTCGACTTGGAACGACACACGCCGAGTGTTACCCAGTGATAAAACGCTTTAACGCACGTCCACACCTTTCGCCACCCGCGGCTGGCAAAAAATTTTTTTTTTTTGCCGCCCCAATTTACCGGAACCGTCCCCTGCGCGCAACCCCGCCGCCAATTACGTCAACCGTATTTAAAAGTTCGCTCCGCTACGTGTGTATACACACACACCTGATGTGCGCTTATGAAGTGAGTGCGTCAACCCTCCCGCCGCCGCCGCCACCGCCGCCGTACCCCACCCCTGAAAAACTTCTCTCATTCAGAAAAAGTGTTGACATGTGTTGCTTAGCAACCGCCGGAACGCGCAATAAACCGTGCGATTTTTGACTGACATGTGATGGCTTTTTAATCTAGTTTCGGCATCAATTTCTCCCGAGCAAAATACGCACCGATGACGAATAAGAAAAAAACGCGGCTGTTGTAGGTCGAAGCGTTCGTAGGACCGTCGCCAAGTTGCCCAACAAGCATGCACCTCACCAACACTCAAACCGCGACGGGTGCCGCATCGTCCCCGGAAGGTACCAACATTATCAATGATACCTACACGAAGATGACGTCCGACATTCTCGCGGAGAGGACTCTGAACGACTTCCTATCCGAACATCCCGGCGAACTGATAAGGACCGGGAGTCCTTTGTTTGTTTGTACAGTGTTACCCCCTCATTGGAGGTCGAATAAGACGTTGCCGGTCGCCTTCAAAGTGGTCGCTTTGGGTGACGTGGGGGACGGTACTGTGGTGACAGTGAGGGCCGGGAACGACGAGAACTATTGTGCAGAGTTGCGGAACTCGACGGCCGTCATGAAAAATCAAGTAGCCAAATTTAACGACCTTAGATTTGTCGGACGAAGCGGAAGAGGTAAGACTAATTTCGTTGGTCGAAGACCTACAGAAACAAATCGCTAAAGTTGATAACAGTTTCGTAAATCTATATTTTTGAACGTTTACATGGATCCAACTTAGCAATAACGATAATCAAGCTCTTCCTTTTCTAGCCGTACAAAAACTAGACAAATACCGGAGATCAGTTCACCAACTTTACACCTGCATCTGCGTGCACTCCTTACACGTTCTCTTTCAATAATTTATTATTAAAAAATAGAACGGCAAAGTAATAAAAATGCTGAGCGGGGACAGTTGTTACTTGATGAAAATCCATTCATTACAATTAAAATAGAACACAAAAATGTTCAGATTTCTAACAAAAGTGACTAATTCGCCTCCTTTTGTTATAGAATAACTCATTTCATTCATTTAACTTGGCTATCAGACGCAGACACACATTTTCAATTACGCACTCAAAATTTAACAATTCTATTTGCCGACATTGAACACATATCTCTTTCATTGTAACATGAGATACATAATTTGTTTTTTTTTTCATATTTCATAAAAAATGTTTACCTGCTGAGGGTAATTTTGTGTTCCTCTGCAGTATCTACTTATTAATAACAAATTATTGGTGGATACTCTTAAAACCGCTTGTGCCGACTTTTTTTAAATTGGTCTATTAAAGACTTTTTGGAAAATCTCTTGTAATAGCATCATCACATAGTATTTTTCAGGATTACATTCGTTAGCATCCGAGCATAGCTTATATTCTTCAGCTTTTTCAAAAACATGAGTTATTGTGTTATCATCATTGTTCATTCAATTTCATCATTTGTTGAAAGAAACATAACAACAGCGATCAAGTCGCCTTTATTAGTGGATCCTTCTGAGTGATTTATATATATATATATATATATATATATATATATATATATATATATATATATATATATATATATATATATATATATATATATATATATATATATATATATATATATATATATATATATATATATATATATATATATATATATATATACTTGTTAATAACAAATTATTGGAGGATATTTTTAAAGCGGCGTATACTGATTATTGTTAAAATGGACCTACATAAATGCAATCATGGTCATTATTATGAATATTATATTGATTATTTTCCGAACAGCATTGTGAAAAAATGAATTTATTATATTCATGTGCTTATTGCTCTTAGTTAAAAGATAATTTTGATAAGAACAAGAAAAAGCTCAAAAATTGCTCGCCGATTCTGGAGAAGTATATTGAGCTGTTGAAAATTGTCATTTTCTACCATATGCAGAATTATTTATCAATATAACTCATATCGGACCAATCCAAAATTGCAACAATTCTCATGATTCGCAAGCCACATTTCATTCGGTCTTTTGGGACAAGACTGTGAAACAGAAAACTACATCAGTAATAAAAAGTTTATTTTACTAGGTTTACCAGAATGAAAGAAAAAAAATGCAAATAATAATATGTTTGCTGCGACTGCAGAATTCAATAAGCAAGTGAGAACGAATACAAGTGCCGTGTGTATTTCCATTATTCGGTCCCCAAAAGGGAAGGGAACACGCCGAAAATTTCTCCTTTCTTGGAGATTTTAACGCTGGACGTAAGAAAAACGCGGGAAAGGCAAACTCTCGTGTGAGACCCTGGCGACGGCAACGGTTTAAGAAGTTTAAGGAAAGTTCAGGTTAGGAGGCGACAGTAGTTGTTGCTCTCCGTTTATTTTGCGCTATTTGAGTATAAAATCAATAAATACTTGTTTAACACAACTGGATGTTGCCAAAAAGTATAGTATTTCAATTTATTTTTTTTTGTCGTTGGTTATACGCCATATACAATAATCTTTGTTTGGGGTAATGGTTTGTTTATAATTTTTAATACCACCATTAAATTAGGTAAAATAAAAAAAGACAATAATAAGAATTATTGCCATAGAAATTTGCATAAAAGCGCCAACGCGCAAAATTACCTTCCCGTAATTAGAAACACACCTCAACGATGTGTTTGTATTAGTTAGTTTGTCAAATAAAACGGACTAATATAATCTAACAAGAATTGTGAAATGTGAAAAATTGTCCTTATACTTTTAAAATTGCGGATTTAGAAGCAATTACCCGCGAAATTATAAGCAATGAATTAATTTTTTTGATAGCCATGGCACCGCTTTTTACTGATTTTATTTGTTATATTTTTCGATTGATAATATCATAAAAAGTTTAGTTTAAAAAAAAAATCCAATATTTCTTAGCATAATTTCGAAGAAATTCGAGCTTTGACATGTTGTTTTAAAGCTTATTTTATAATAAATAACAATTATTTGGATATGCGGTAATAGTCCCTGAACGAATACACATTCTTCTGTAGGATAATATTGTCTAGCCTAGGAGATCAACACATTACATTTATGGTTACAAAAGGAATACTAGCCGTCTGACCCCATTAACATTATGACATATATTTGTCTATTAAGAGCTTAGTTGAAACACAAGCACAAAATTTCAGGATTTCAAGATTTATTTATTATTATAAAAGAGTTTTAATGCATTACTGCACTATGGAAAAACCATATGTATATGCGGTTTAATAGTTGATATAAAGAGTTAGGTTCAATTTCAACGGTCCTTAGCTAAAGATCATCTTAAAAAATAGGCGAGCTTAACATTATTACATTGTCATTAGTTAACTAAGTACAAACTTTTTAGGTACATGTGATGCAAATTATTAATAATCTAATCTAATCTTAAAAGATTTCATAGTAGATATAATGTTTTTGTTTTTGATTTTGTGGTAGGGTTTATGTTTAAACTTTGTAGGTAGAAGATTATAAATTTTTGGTGTAGAATATAATAAATTTTGTCGACACTTAGTTAACCTTATTTTAGGCATAATTGCACTATTTCTCTTAGTATGTCTTATAGCATTATGCTGTATTAAAATAAGATGTTTACTGGATCGCAATGACTACTTTTATATAGACTTGATTAATTGATAGTGTTTGTTGTTTAATATGATATTTGATATATATTTCGGCGTTATTTTCAATGCACATAGAGGAAAAGCAAAGTTAGAATTTTGAAATCTCCCTGTACCTAATAGATTGCTGATTAATTGACCTCTAGTTATTTTACTCGAAGGTTTAAAATCAGAGTCCAAAGTTAAAATTGTGTATTTTAATTGTGCCGTTTTATGTTGAGACGAAGAACCTTTTTATTTAATGTAACTTAGGAGGGGTGTGCTAACAACTAAGGAAACAGTACATAATAAACTCACTAATTATAATCAAATATAGAAATTGAAAATACAAACTTTTGTTTTTCAAATTGAAACATCTTTCTATTTACAGCCCAGGACACGATTGACAATAATTACTATTACCTAAATATTTTCAAATTTGAAACACAAAGAATTTTTAGCAGATCTTCGGGAGGCAATTCGTTTAGCCTTTCTAAAGGGGATAATATATGCGAATTTTTCATAAGACACAATGGGTCTTAAGTTTTTTAAAATTTTTGATTTTTTTTTTGTTTATCTTTTCTTTTTTGCACTTCTGTTCTGTGTGGCAGATTGTTACTTTACGTATAACACTGTTCACTGTTCAGAAAAGCATTTATTCGCTGGCAGTATAAAACTGCAAATTGTTAATTTTGGTTATTAGGCAGTTTTGAAATTATGCATTTAATTTTATAAAATTCTTATTTATTCGCTGGTTTTTGAAATGATGATATGGCAAAGTTTGAAAAAGAAAAATTGAATGGTTTCTAAATATGGAATATTTTAAAAAGCCATTAATAAGGTCACTGTTTATCACGAAAAAAAAGTAAAAACATATTTCAATACTTTTCAATGGTTAAAAAACTAATCTACATACGAGGAAAGTCCCAAAGTTTTAAATGTTCACAATAACCGTGTATCTAAAGAAATAAGGCGAACAATGTGGAAGGAGGAACAATTTATAGACTTACAGACAACTTTAAACTTACTGAAATATCTTATCTTGACTCTGGAAAACGTCCTTACCGCACTTATTCGTCAATTTAATCTTTTGATATTTGGCGGGGATTTCAATGTTGATCTGTTAAAAACTAATACTCCTGCTTATTTTCGATTTTCAAATACTCCCACGAACTTCGGCATGCATCAACTAATTACAGGGCCCACCATATGTGACAATATTGAAGTTCATGATATCGGCTGTGCTCTGATCGCTTCCAGTCAATAAACACCGGGTGGATTCTATTTATTTTATTTATCTACCAATTACATCCTTGTCTTCTACTTTACACCTACCTACTATTCTTTACCCTAACTTGTAACCCTTTGTATGTTTATTATTATTGTTTACTTTACCTATCCATAAACCAAACATCGAATATAATAATTTGTTGAGAGCAGCTGATTCTAAATTAAACTATTGTCTCATTGTCTTGGGCCATAGCAAAGCGTTCGACGCCTTGGATCATTTCCTTCTCTTAGCTAAACTGAACTACTACTTTCATTTTTTTTGTCAGAGATACCATAGAATAGTTATAAGAAATATTCATTCAGATGCTGTTGCCTTGGAAAGATGTGTTCCACAGGGACCTATTCTGTTCTCAGTTTATACAGCGTTTTCTGTACTTTTCTTGAATTTTGTAAACCTCATCAATACGCCTTTTGTTACTAGTAAAGCTTTAAATGCTGCATTAAAATAAATTTAGATCTGCAGCTCATAACTTCTTATTGAATACTAACAAAACGCAGGTGATATTATTTGGAAATAAAAGGGAAGAAGTTGTAAGAAACGCCTCTTTTAAGATTAAGCTAAATTGCGGCTAAATGATAAGATTATCTCTCCTTCTTTGGACGGGTTTAAAAATTTGGGATTATCATTTCACAGTGATTTGCGGTTTTCAAAGCATGTTGACTCGGTGTTACAAAAGTCTTTCTATAAGTTGACGACATTGTATATTCACAAACATTTTCTCAGTAAAGAAGTGAAACTTAAACTCTGTGATG